CATACACTAGTACCACACTACCATACAACAGTACCACACTACCATACACCAGTACCACACTACCATATACCGGTATCACACTACCATACACTAGTACCACACCATACACCAGTACCACACAGTACACCAGTACCACACTACCATACACCAGTACCACACTACCACACTAGTACCACACACCATACAACAGTGCCACACTACCATACACCAGTACCACACTACTACACCAGTGCCACGTACCACACTACCATACACCAGTACCACACTACCATACACCAGTACCACACTACCATACACCAGTACCACACTACCATACACCAGGACCACAGTACCATATAATAATACCACACTACCATACAACAGTACCACACTACCATACACCAGGACCACACTACCATACACCAGGACCACACTACCATACGCCAGTACCACACTACCATACAACAGTACCAGACTACCATACACCAGTACCACACCACCATACACCAGTACCACACTACCATACACCAGTACCACACTACCATACACCAATGCCACACTACCATTCTATCATATAGTTCCTTAGTTACCTCACTCCGGTGCCCGTATATACACCTCTCTACCTGACGTTGGTGAATGCTCGTGCTGGCGTTGTCGAATGCTCGTGCTGGCGTTGGTAAATGCTCGCGCTGGCGTTGTCAAATGCTCGTGCTGGCGTTGGTGAATGCTCGTGCTGGCGTTGTGTTTTTGGGTATGGGCGTTAGTAGTGAAATCTGACGAGGCAACACCGTAGACTCTCTCTCTCTCTCTCTCTCTCTCTCTCTCTCTCTCTCTCTCTCTCTCTCTCTCTCCATCATGATAACCAACAGAGACGTGGAACAGGAACCTCATCCCCCCTCTCTCTCTCTCTCCATCATGATAACCAACAGAGACGTGGAACAGGAACCTCATCCCCCCCCCTCTCACCTTTCCTCCTCCACCCTCCTAGTTTTCCTCTCTCTCTCCACCACCGTCGTAATCAACAAAAGCGTAGAACAACAGAAGCAGGAAACGACAGAAGCACGGAGTAACAGAAGCACGGAGCAACAGAAGCACGAAACAACAGATGCACGAAACAACAGAAGCGTGGAACAACAGAAACATGGAACAACGGGAGCATGGAACATCAGGAACCTTCCGATAATGACATTCCGGTTTATCAAGTCCCGGATTTTACGTGTGGAATCTTAAATTACAAGGTACACACACCTCCCCTACCGCCTCGTTAGTTCCCTCCACCACCACCTACCTGGGAGGGTGAGGGGGAGTAGGGGAGAGTGAGGGGGAGGAGAGGGGAGAGTGAGGGGGAGGAGGGGAGGAGGAGGGAGAGGAGGGAGGGAAGAGGAGGAGAGGAGGGTAGAGTGAGGGAGAGGAGGGAGAGGAGGGGAGGAGAGGGAGAGGGAGGGGGAGGGGAGAGTGGAGGAGAGGAGGAGGAAGGGGAGAGAGGGGAGAGGGGAGAGAAGGGGAGAGTGGAGGGAGAGGAGGGAGAGGAGGGGGGAGTAGGGGAGAGTGAAGGGGAGGAGAGGGGAGAGGGAGGAGAGGAGAGGAGGAGAGGATGGGAGAGGAGGGAGAAGAGGGGAGAGGAGGGAGAGGAGAGGAACAACATGTGAAGAATTAAGAAAAGTGTAAGAGTGGAGAAGGAGGGAAGTGAAGGAAGGAAGGAAGGAAGGAAGGAAGAACGAATAAGAAAAAAACAAGAGGGGAAAGGAGAAATAAAGAGGAATGAAAACGAATAAGAAAAAAACAAGAGGGGAAAGGAGAAATAAAGAGGAATGAGACAAATAGTAAGAGGGACGGACGGAGAGGAGAATAGAGAAAAGTGGGAAGGAAAGGGACAATGAAGAACGAGAAGAAGGATGGAAGGGTAAATGATAAATAAGGTTGAACGAATAAGGAGGATAAAGTGATGGTGACAAGAATGAGAAATGAGGAAGAGTTGCCGATGTACCTTCCTTCTGTCCCCTTCCTTCCTTCCTTCCCTCCCTCCCAATGACACACACACACACACACACACACACACTGGAAAACCAAAATACTGAGGAACATAGATAATTATAATTGGAAAGAAATATAATTAAAATTTTCCCGATTATAATAAATATAAATAAAATAGGAAGAAAAGAAAACGAGTTCCAATTTTTCCCCCAAAGTAGAAAAAATTGGAAATAAATTAATAATTTTTTTCATATAAATTGTTAAATGGAAAAAATAAACAAGAAACCCCAAAATAGGGTAATGATAGACTATTATAATCAAGTAAAAAAATAGGGTAAATCATGAATAATTAGTAAGTAAACTTTAAATACCTATTATCATAATCAGAAAAAATAGGAGGATTATAAAAATACGGTTTACTTAATAGGCCAAAAATAAGGTGACTAAGAAGATAATAAGAAGCCGATTTTACAAATATGATCTATTATAAATTGGGAAATAATACGGCGACAAAAGAAAGAAATAAGTGTTAATATAATCTTAAAAATAGGTTGAAATAAGAATATATAGGAACCAATTTTCAAATACGAGAGCCTATTATAATTGGTTAAAAATAGGATGGAACAAATAATTAGAATGCGGCCTTTAATTAATCCTTACAAATGGGTGAAAATAGAGACACGACAGGGAGAGATACAGCTGTTTTCAATTACATGGCCTATTATAATCAGGAAATAAATAGGGTGGAATAGGAAGAGTTTAAGATGGGGCTTTTCACTACGTATTATTATTGTAAAGTGGACAAAATAGCATAAACCTACAAGGAAATAAGTATTCTAAACAACACGACCTAATAGGAAAAAAATAATAGGGACAAAATAGGGAAGAGGAACAAACTACAAGAATCAAATAACAAGGTCTACTACTATAACTGGGGGAAAAGGGAGAAAGAAATGGAGGGAGGAGAGAGGGAGGTAGGGGGAGGTAGGAAGAAGGGAGTGGGGAGTGGGAGGGGGAGTGGGGAGTGGGAGGGAGATTGGGGATGGGTGGGGGAGCGGTGGTGGTGGCGGCGCCTGGGTGGCTCCGCCGGGCCGGACCCCTCCGCTCCTCATTGCTTGGAAGAATCCACAACTGTCACAGAAACGATTGGCCTCCCTGGAAATGAGCCGAGTGTTTAATTTTATTACCTTTGTTTTATTAGGCCCGCGCAGACGGTCCAGCTACCCCGTCCCAGGAAGATAATTGTAACCCACACTAGCCATTAAGGATCAGTTAAACGTATCGGGCTAATTAGAAATTCAACCTTGGGGCCATTCCGAGTTTACTTCAATTTTCTGCCGGCCAGAGCAAAAGGGGGCCGTCCCGATCCTTGGGTTTTTGGCTCGGACGTCCCCGTAAAACGTTTACTGTCGGGGCCTCCAGCGTATTTGGACACAGTTAATTTAACCATTACATTTGCCTCAGCCATTTAACTATTACAGGGTCTGTGCTCAGGCGATTTGGGCCGTGGGAGGAGCTCTCGTGTAACACTTAATGGCCAAACTGTCCACCATCAACACTGGCCCGCCGACATATTGAACCAAGACTTGAGGGAGAAAAAATGGTGTTGATCTGTGTGTGTGTGAGAGTCTGTCTGTCTGTCTGTCTGTCTCTCCCATCACTGTATCTTACACAATACCATCATCTGTAGGCCCTAAGACACATCAATCACCCCTCATAAGAAATCCATTTAAATTCTAATTACTCGACATAACATAAACAATAAAACTAGGATAGGTAAATACTTCAACTAAATGCCATTAATTAGGTGGACATTTGTATGGAATCTCAAATAAATAGCTTTCAATACTAATGATAATAATTCATATTAAATCAAATTTATAATAAAATTAAAAAAATTAAAATAAAAGAATATTATTTCATAGTAAATAAAAAAATTACATAAATAAATAAATAATAATAATAATAATAATAATAATAATAATAATAATAATAATAATAATAATAATAATAATAATAATAATAATAACACTAACAAAAATAATAGGGAACCATAAAGAAATGCAAAAAAATGAAAAACATCAATAATGAGAAACAATATGTGTATGTTGTGTTGTCAATAGTAAGAGTAACAATTGAGACCCTGCAATTGTGTGTAAATGAGGCAGAAAGTCAGATCAGCAACCTGGGACTTGGTCACAATTTTCGTGATGCCATATAGCAGCAGGGTCTACCATTAGACAACATATTATGCTTCCAATATCTTCCCAGGCGGTAGTACCTCCCTGTTTGGTAGCTGCCTACTACCTACATTACATAAAAGGAACATACATTAAACTACAACAAAAACATACATATAAAACAAAAAAATAACTATAACAACAAACAAATATCATAACACAAACACGAAAACAAAAATATTCTAAAATTAAAAAAAAAATGTATTATACAAATAAAAACAACAAAAACACGATTATAGCCAAAAAATTAAAAACATGATGAAAACAAAAGAATTACAAAAACATCCAAATAATACGACAGACATAGACATAACATAAACCATTAAATAACAAACGAACAATAAAAAAAATATGGAGATAAAATAAACATAAGGCACACACACATGAATAGGCCTATAACAAAAGCTTAAAAACACACACACACACACACACACACACACACACACACACACACACACACACACACACACACACACACACACACACACACACACACACACCTTCAATTCATCCACAACACCTTAACGTCCTTGACCTGCAAAGCCCTGAGGTCAAGAACACGCCAGGCTCAACTACCTCCAAATCGCAAATAACCTCAACGCCCTATACAATTTCAGGCCTCCGTACCTCCAAACTTCAGATGACTTCTACAGCCTCAAAACCCTAGTCCTCATCTTCTCCAAATGACAAATAACCTCCAAATTCTACAAATCCAGTTCACTGTACCTCCAAATTGCAGGTTTTATCCATAATCCACATCCTACAAACCCTCCAAATTCAGTTATCTATCTACTCCTTTGAGGCTACATGTCCACGTCTTGGGAGTCTTCATTATCCTCCTCGCCCTCCCAACATGAGTCCAACCTGAGTCTCACCTGGGACAACCTCACCTCTCAAAACACCAGGCCAGGTAACTTCAAATTTAAACCAACAATACTCCAACCTTTGACCTTTTCCTCTTCATTTCTAGACCTTGTACGCACTCCAAAACACCTCATTCTATCTCATTAACCTCATTAACCTCCAAGAAATCCCAAAAACTCACCTGCAAAACCTTCAATTTACCTACAACTCCATCCTGACTTGTAACACCCACGGAGGTATCAAATACTGTCTATAACTATCCAATACCGTTTTATTTACCTATCCAGAACATACTATCCACACCTACCTATCCCCCCCACGTTCCCCCGCCCCCGAACTCTTCCACCCAGCTGATAACTACACACAAAGTCGAAATGCCTCTCGTGGTAACTACCTGAACTAGTGCTTGTGTTGTTTGGGGTAAAGAACAATACACACATACACGTACACACACACACATGCACGTACACACACACACACATGCTCGTACACACACATAAGCACACAACCACACCATATACAGTAATATGCATGCACAAATATTTCACAACACAAACACCTCTCTCTCTCTCTCTCTCTCTCTCTCTCTCTCTCTCTCTCTCTCTCTCTCGTCTACCGTAATTAGAGAAGTCAACTCGGCAAGTAGATTCCACTAACTCGGAGCACGACTGGTGAAGGTTACGAGGGGCTGAGGAGGAGAGGAAGAAGGGGGGGAGAAGAGGGAGGAGGGAGGGGAGGGAGGGGAGGGAGGGAGGGAGGAGGAGAGAAGGAAGAGGAGGAGGAAGAAGCGGAGGGAGGGAGAAAGAAGGGAGGGAGGGAGAAAGAAGGGAAAAGAGGGAGGGAGGGGAGGGAGGGAAGGAGGAGGGAGAGGGAGGGAGGGAGGGAGGAGGGAGGGAGGAGGAGAGAGGAGAGAAAGAAGAGGAGAGGAAAGGAAGAAGACAGTGTGGAGAGATGAGGAAGAAAAAGCGGAGGGAAAGGGGAGAGGAGGAATTGAAGGTGTGGAGAGGAAGGGGAGAAGATCAGAGGGAGGGAGGGAGGAATGTAGGGATGGGGATGGTGGAAAGGGAGACAAGAGTGAGAGGTTGGGGAGTAGTAGGGAGGATTGGGGAGGGGAGATGTGGGAAGGGGAGGTGAATGTTGGGAAGGGGAGGTAGAATGTTGGGAAGGGGGAAGACTGTGGGGAGTAGTAGGGGAGATTGAGGGGTGCAGTAAGGAGGGCAGTGGTCGCCAGAATAGAACAAGGAGTAACGAGGCGCTTCTTATCTGTCCCACCGAGAAAAAAAAAAAAAACACATTACCAAAGACAAACAAATAATAAAATATGTTCTATAATACTGTACATCTTGGTAGTCGCGGCTACTGTCGTTAATGAGGCAGTTACTGTCGTTAATGAGGCAGACACTGTCGTTATAGTCGCTGCTACTGTCATTATATCGTCATAAACACTATTACTGTCGTTATGTTCATGGATCCATCTACCAGGGTGGTCGTTCTTCTCTTGTTTTTTTTTCCTAACTTTTTCCCTTACTATACTAAAATTTCCCTGAGTACATAAAAAGTTCCCCCCCGAGGACATAAAAATTTCCCTAAGTACATAAAAATTTCCCTAATTCATCCCTAAAATTTCTCTATGTACACAAATTTTTCCCTGACTTACCCCTAAAATATCCCCAAGTACACACAAAAATTCCCCGACTCTCCTAAAATTTCCCTGAGTACACATAAAAAATTTCCCTAACCGACCCCTAAAATTTCCATGAGTACACATTAAAAAAATTTCCCTGACTCACCCATATATTAAGTCTTGTCACCTGATTGTTATTTCCCTTCCTACCCCCTGCTTATAGTGGTGGGGAATTTATCTCGCTAAGGAAAAAAAAAGTACACACGATACTTACAATACTGTCTTATAAACTGACTATGTGTAGAGATAACAGCGACGATAGTGAAGAGAGGAGAAGAATATCAACGATCATGAAGTTTTAATTCAGATAATCTTCCGTCATAAATTTACTGACTCAAATTTACAGTTAATCACAAAAGTTTAACACACACACACACACACACACACACACACACACACACACACACGTACACACACACACACACACACACGTACACACACACATGTACACACACACACACAAACGTCTCCTGGGGGTCAACAAACATACACACGATAAATTAATAGTCTCGAGCGAGTAACTCAAGACGACCCTCTGGACAGACTAACTGACAGACACACGAAGTAACAGACTGATGAACGAACTGACAGACATGTGAACTAAAAACAAATGGACAGAAAGACGAACCGACAGATAGACTGACTGACGGTAAAACAGACAGAAGATATCGCAAAATTCCCAGTTTGTCGACCACGGGAATAATAAACGAACTAATTCCTCTGTAGCACGGGGAATGGGCGTGATGGGTGAGCCTGACCGCCCATTCATCGTAAGGTCGAGCACAGCCCTCCGCACCCCCACCATGGGCGCGAGGGGTAGGGGTGACAGTGATGGGCCGCCCACCAGTCGTAAACATGGGCCGGACCCCCCAAGCAACCAAGATGGGCCGCCCATTCACAGTAAACTCAGGCCGCCCCCACTACCCCACTGTGGGTGTGATGGGCCGCCCACTCGTCGTAAACACAGGCCGCCCCTTCACCAGTAATGCCAAGTGAACGCTTCCAGGAATTACTCCCCGACTCAAATTTTTTCCCTCAGGGCGTTCCTTCTGTGCGTGTGTGTGTGTGTGAGAGAGAGATATTCACCACCACCAACACTACTGCAGGAATCAAAGTCACAGTGCTGAGATGATAAGCGAGTCGGCCAACACCTGCACCAAACTCAGTCTCTCAACGTGTAATGGACGCCTGAAAAACACCTTGTATAAATAACTATAAATTATTAAAGTTACCAGTTATTTTTTCTAGATAAAACTAACACTAATTTATGTGACCCTTATGTATTATACTTGGTCCAAAAAGTACCTTTATGATTTTGTGCCAGATAATATGAGACAACAGATGAAGGATTTTGAGAACCCTACCGAGACAACAGGAGTCGTAGTGTTCATTTTGGAATTCATCGGCCCCTTCCGTAGAGATACGTTTTTGGGCGAGTCATTATGCAATATTATTAACTGTTTTACATGTTCACTCCAGTTCAGGTGACCAATTTATCCATAATTGAATAACAAGGATGAGGTTTACAGGTAATAGCCCAGCTTAGATTACAGGTACAGTCCAGGTAACGGCAACTACCTGGCTGCTTCTGTTACCACATTTATGAGGAACCAAACAAAGGAAGAAAAATAACAGCAATAACAGTTATCATAAACCAGTGAGTGTTAATTTGTTGACGGTATTAACATAATATTAACCGCTCGAGTACCATAACTTAAACGTCCACAGTAGTACGATATCCCCATTCTCAAGAGTCATTATACCGAGTGTTATAATAGAGTCCGTTGTAAATCACAGGTCACTAATGCTGAAACATATTAGTGAATATTGACTGTTGTAGCAAATCAGTGATGTACTTAAGTAATGGTCTGTTCCACCCACGGGATAAAGCGTCTGGAATTATCTGCGAAGGATGAGTCAACGAGCTACACCTATCATGAATAAAATAAATTCAATTTATACTCTCATTATTATACATTTCATTGCGTAGTGTATTCTAGCCATGAACACACTAACACTGCGCACGCACGCACGCGCACACACACACACACACACACACACACACACACACACACACACACACACACACACACACACACACACACACACACACACACACACACACACACACACACACACACACACACACACACACACACACACACACACACACACACACACACACACACACACACACACACACACACACACACACACACACACACACACACACACACACACACACACACACACACACACACACACACACACACACACACACACACACACACACACACACACACACACACACACACACACACACACACACACACACACACACACACACACACACACACACACACACACACACACACACACACACACACACACACACACACACACACACACACACACACACACACACACACACACACACACACACACACACACACACACACACACACACACACACACACACACACACACACACACACACACACACACACACACACACACACACGATGTAAGTGGTTCAGTCCAGTCAAGATATAATAACACTTATGACACACACTTGAGCCAAGAACAAGTTCCTAATGGAACATATCTTAGCGGAGTGTCTCGACCCGTCACACACTGTCTTAATAACAACCAACACACAAAAAACCGAAATGTGTTACAGTGATAAAAATATTAACAAAATACAGCGAACAATAAGAAATAACACAAACCTTTTATAAAATGACTAAATAAAGAGAGGAACCAGACAGCCAACGGGTGAAATTGAACAGTGACAGCAAGATGTAAATACAGTGGGAAGGCAGAGCTCCAGATAAGATTAGTAGAAGGCTGTAGACAGAGAAAGACCAATAAGCGCGCGCAGGGAATGAATGGAAACACAGGGAGTAATAAAGATGCCGTGTAGATGGAAGGGGGAAGACAATAAGAGCAATAGATAAGATCCCGAAGATGGAATGGGAAGACCCAACGGGCGGAGCAAATCGGGCCAACGGAGCAATCTGGGTTCCTCCACCCCGCCACGCTAACTCTGCTCTCCAATCAATATAAAATCATTCTTATTATTTTTTTCTTTTTTTATCACTATACATAAAACTCATCTTGAGCAAATTTGGAGGATATTGAGTTGAAGGAATTTAACTTAATGTGTTATGTTTTAGAGGTAGGAATTCAGTACGTAGGAGGTAGAAATGGCGAATACATTGTAAACAAGACGAAGACTAGTGGAGTTTCCCTCCCCCCTTCCAGGCGTCCCTCCCAAGCAGGCCGGACCATTCTAGACCTCAATAAAAGGTGCTGGAGCGACAATTGTTCAAAGCTCCGTTAAATGAAAATAATTTTAATTA